CATACAGATTGACAAATGAAGGTTGATCAATTTATTTGTCTGCATAATCAATAAATCAATTATAAATGAAAGGTAAATTTTCAAATTGACGTCAATATTGTCGATAGCATTTTGGGTTTCTCATTTATAATCAGCTGAAATTTTTGTCTCAATTTTGCATCAAAACTGGTTGATTGGAAAGGGTTTTAAGACTAATTTTATGACCAAATGATGAGAATGATTTGACTACAGGGACACAAAATAGCTGAGGTTTCTATGAACTTTTCTGATCGATGGTTTTGGGTCGAAATCCTTTCAAATTTCAAGCTTCGGTTGCATTTTGTGTAGAACCAGATTTTATTTTTTCTCATTTTGACGATGTTCGTAAATATTATAAGTGTTTTGAATGTGAATTGAATGTATTTCAGATCAGTCATGATGCGGGAGTCCGCGAGTTTCTAATTAATTTCTTTCCTCTAATTAATTATCATCAATGTTGCCATAATGAGACAATGCAGCTATTAACTACAACTTGAGAGTAAATTAATTGCTTCATTAATTATTTTACTTTTCATCCATTCAAATTGATTGCATTTGTGACAATAAATGTGCTTTACCTGTCAAATCCTATTAAGGTTAAATTAAGGCCATTTTTCACCTAATAAAGTTGATCTTGAACTTGAATTTTACCTTGATTGTTGATTCAAAATTAACTCTAATAGGTTTGATAATTTGTGTTAATAGATGAGGAAAAAATGGTTCACTCATTTGGTTCATATTTAGATTTTTTGATGGTTTTTATCTTTCTTTTATAATCAAATTTTTTGCAATCAAATTATATTAGTTGCATATCAATTGCAATGTGTTTTATTTAAATAATTGAACCATAATTGGTTCTTGGGTCAACAAAATTAACAATAAATCAACAATCGATATAGTCTTTAGTTTGTCTAGTAGTTGGCTTTTAGTTTGTTTAAAACTGTTTCATTAGGAAAATTATATTTAATGGATGAGATCAAATTGAAGTTTCTTCTGATTCGTTTTCCATTGGGTTCATGATATTTCCGTTTTGTTTTCCTTCCGAATGAGCTAATTATCACATTAATTATATGATAATATTGATTCTTGACTTGAGTAAGGGAGACTTCGAGGTTTCAGTGTTTGTCCCTTAATCAAATCAGCAGCTCTTTCAGCAAGCACAATTGTCGGTACATTTGTGTTTCCAGTGGGAACCTCAGGCATAGCTGAAGCATCGATTACCCGAAGACCGGCGACTCCACGAACCCGAAGATATGGATCAAGAACAGCCATTGGGTCATTATCATCACCCATTTTGGCTGTACTTGTTGGATGGTAGATAGTGTATGTAAGGGTTTGAACGAGACACCGAAGGTAAGGGTCAGAGTTGAAGGGATATTTTGAACAAGGAATCAACGGAGTATTAAATTGTTTAGTTTCGATTGCTTGCATAGCTGGAGTTTGTGTGATATTTAAAATCAATTTACAACCTTGGACCATTGCTTCAAGATCACGAGGATCTTGGAATAGGTTGTAGTCAATGATGGGAGCGTCTCTTGGGTTAGCTGAGGCTAATGTTACTGTTCCGGTACTGCGAGGTCGAACCAAGGTTACAGCGTACATAGTTCCATCACTCAAACTGTAAGGGGCCAAATACTTGAACAAGACATCTCTGTTCAAGTTAAGGATGTAACCTGCATTCAGATTCACAAGTTTAATTGAAATGGCAAAATGAGTTAACTTGAAAAATAATTACCTAAAACAAAGTTAGGGAAAGATCCTCCTGGAATGTAGTCTAATTCGTGAATTTGAATATCGGGTCTTGCATCGTAAGCCTCTGGACTTCGCCAAAAACCGATAACATTTAGTCCTGGTGATGCAAATGATCCAGTACCACCGAATGCGTATTTTGCAGCATCAACGGCGGTTCTTATTCGAGTGTAAACAAAACTTGAACCAAATTTAGTGGTAAACATGAGCAATGTGAATGCGTGTTCTTGTAAATTATTACCCACTCCGGGTGAATGTTGGACAAGTGGAATATTGAATTTAGCTAATTGATCTCTTGGTCCAATACCGGAGAGCATCAAAAGTTGAGGTGTGTTCAGGGCTCCAGCAGATAAGATAACTTCTTGTCGTGCAAAAACTTGGAATTTTCCTCCGTCTTTCTCAAAGAGAACTCCAATGGCTCGCTTGTTATTGTCAAACAGTATTTTGTAGGCTCGAGCAAAAATGACTACATGAAGATTACGACGACCTGAAGCTGGGCCCAAATAGGCTCGAGCAGTTGAACAACGTTTACCATCTCGGATAGTGAATCGAGAGTACATGAATTTCTCCTGATCTTCACCATTCAAGTCACCAACTTTGAGACCATATTGTCTAACACCTTCCAAGAAGGCTTTGTCTACATCAAATGTGTCTTGAAGAGGAGTTACAGTCAAAGGTCCAGTTGTCCCATGGTAACCTGGATCACCTTGAGGATCTCTTGACCCTTCCATTTTGATAAAGTAAGGTGAGACTGAAGAGTAATTCCAACCAGCAGCACCAAGTTGGCCCCATCGATCGTAATCCATCTTGTTACCTCTAACATACAACATGTAATTGATTGAAGATCCACCACCGACAGCTTTACCTCGAGGACAAGGAATACGATTACCATTTAATCCAAAGGCAGCTCGTGACTGAGGTACCGATTGATAAGACCAATCAAGAGGTGACTTTTGAAGCAAAAAGGCAGCAATTGGAATGGTACTTAAAATGTTTTCCTCTCCACCAGCTTCAATCAGTAAAATACGAACATTAGGATTTTCCGATAAACGAGCAGCCAAAGTAGCTCCAGCCGAACCACCGCCAACAATGATATAATCATAAGTTTCATTAATAGTTCTTGAAAGAGTAAAATCAAGTGAATATGGAACTGCCAGTGGTCCAAAAGATGATGCTACCACAGTCATAAATTGTCGGGCAATTTCAAGAGATTGCGAGTTACCGATGTTTTGAGCAGCTCCAGTCAGTGTAGTATAAGACATCATGTCACCCGAAATCGGGGTCCTACCAAGAATACCGCCTATGAGGTTAGTCCTGAAATCTCTGAATCTGGTAAAAGCTGATGACAACAATTGTCCGTGGGTTGGTTCAATGGTTACTGATGAATACATGATAACCAACAGCAGGGTTATTCTGGTCAACAAATTAAAATCCATTTTGGATGATTAAAATAAGAGGCTAAAGATGAAAAGAGGATGAAAAGGAGCCCAAAATTGGTCGTTGAGTCGATTTATTTGTTACCTATTGATTCCAGTACGAATCAATTGTCAACTAGTTTGACTATTGAATACAAGTTGCCCTAACACGGGACAGTTGGAAACTGAGACAATTATCAATCTGATTTGAGTATCCATGGTTTTAATTGTAGCAATTTATGGTAAATGAGTTGTAGGCACAAAAGGATAAGGTGAAGATGAATTATTAATCAAATTAATCATTGAAAAAAAAAACAATTTTCAAGGTGATGATGATCAATACACAAGCAAATGTACCTTTAACTGTTAATCAGCGATACAAAAGCTACAAAGATGTCATACCAATTGTTATCAATTTTTTTGTTTTAAATTATGATCAATGATCGCTAATCAAGGAACAGTATCATATCAAATCAATTAATTGATAACAATGATTGTTAAAACAAAACAAAAAACGATTAATATCACATTTTTGTTTGATCACGGACAGCAAATGAAACACTAATTATCACACAAAATAGCTCTTGATTTATTAGATTTAACTAGATTCACACATTTATGTTAATTCGTGGTCTTATTGTTCGACATCGACTTATCAACTGATCTCGATTGAATAAATGAACGAATTCAAATCAGAGTTTCGTTTTCATGCTAATCTTGAAATTTTTTAATTTTACCGTCTTCAGCTTGACAGTCAAATTAATTATTCATACAATTATAATAAGCGTTACTTTTTCCCGATCCACTAAACAATCAATAAGATCAATAATGATCTTGTCATTGTGAACTTTAATTGTCAACAGATTATCCTATCGTTACAATCAAAGTCAATATTTGATTTAACAACTTTAGCTTAAACTGAATCATTGAGTTTTTCAATTGCATTTTCACTGTCAATTTCAATCTTATAGCAACAGTAATCTACTAATCATTTTTTCCTTCCTAACCATTCAAATCTATTCTAAAGGGTGTTCAATGTAATTGCTTCCAAACTGGCGGAGCTAAAATTTTGATAATCACATGATAAGCAAGATAACTAGAGCGACATCGCAATAACAAAGGTAAAGGATGAAAGGTAAAATGTGATTTTACTCTGGTTATCTTGTCTTATCATGTTTTTGATTGTGATTATCAAAATTTAAGCTCCGCCAGTTTGCAAGTAATTACATTGAACACCCTTTGCATTACGAGATGTTTGCTATTTTTTATTGGTTTACTCATTGTTTCAGATTCAACGGAAGATTATTACTGATTTGCGATCAGTAACCACGAGTATAATTAATTTTATCTCCATTTAAAATCAAGATTTGATTTGCTTTTTTACTCTCGAAGCTAAATCATCAAAATAGACTCAAGATTTAAAGTGTCTCCATTTGGTGAAGTTCAAGGCAGTTAGAGAGTCTGATGAAAGCTGCAAGTTGAAATTACGTTCAATTAGACCCAAGTTTTAGCATGAACCCAATACATTTCATTTGGCGAGAAACCAATGATTGTAATTAATCGACGAGATCTTTAGATTTTCACCAACTACTAGAATATCAATTTGATAGCTCTAACATCTGAATATACATTATATAATGTAAGAGACAATAAATCTTACGGCTCCTTTCTGAAAATTTTAACCCAGTCTGAGGATTAAGCGGATCAACCTTGTAGACCTGCGGCTATTCCAATCCTTTAGTGAAAACTTACGGTCTAAAAAGACTACCAAATCACATAAGTGCAATGTAACGATAAGAATCAAAACTAGACCAAACAATGAATATTTATTAAGGGAACAAGGCATTTCGTAGTACATTTCATAATCTAAGGCTCAATTTCATTGCCAGTCATTTTGATGACTTTTAATGAATGGCTAACATGATCTGATCCCGGTAGTGATTATATATATGATTTATTCCTGACTACTCAAAAAACTCATAATTACACAAATTTGAGCCATTTTGACGAGAAAACTTTTCTCTGTTAACTTTGCACAACAGTTTGAAACTAATAGTACAAGCCACGAACTAATGTTATTCTGAATGTGCTAAACTCTTGAAATTATTATCGATGGTGAATTAAATTTATTTTGATTCAAATTCATCATTCTAGTTCAGCCGACATTTCCGATCATCATCACATTACTGAGTTAAAAAGGATTGATTTGATTTCTGAAAAAATTACAAAATCAGTTGCAAACTACGAACTGAGAATACAAATTGATTTAATATATGTAATTCCAATTCAAATCGATTACATATTTCATTAAAATTTAAATTTTCGCACAAAAATACCGTTTTGTCGGAATTTTGTTGATCACTTTCACCAATTATGAAATTAATTGCTTAGCTCTTGCTCAGCTAGTCATTTCATGTTTAATAATGGTTGGTAAACAATGAATTAAAGTTAACAATTAATTATCAAGGAAAGTTGCGAGAGAGTTTCCATTTAAATTTCATTAAATTGTAATCATTTGGTTCTGGTTATTTCTTTACCCAGAGTTACCAGACTTTTTGTAATTTGAGTTGCAACTAAACATTTAATGGAAAGTAAAATGTAAATTTTGATGAAACTGGAAACATTTTTTGCCTTTTGATTAACTTGCTGTTGACCTTTGAACAATTTAATTAAGATTAGGTCCAATTACTGAGGAGATTGAGAAGAGGATTCAAGTTGATTCAAGTTAATCCAAATGTATCCATAAAAGCCGATTGTGAATGACTTATTTGTTTTCATTCATTGGATCGACGGAAGTTACTCAAGGCAAGATTCAATTCTGTTAAATTCGGACACTTCTGTTGCACAATTACGATAGTAATCAAGAAATTAATAACAAAGTTAATTAGTCTATAGATGAGCAACCAATTCAGATCCGAAGAAGAAGAAGAAGAAGAAGAAGAAAAAGATGAGAAAAAATGAAAACTTTCAAGTAAACATTTTATTTGATATCAATCCCTTTATGATTGGCTTTTCATTAAACCATTAAACAATCCTTCTTAAAGGCTCCTTCAAATCCATTATTCACGTTGCTGATAATTTCAAATCCAGGCATCCACAAGTTTCAACAGCTATTATACCGGGCTGGGTTAGGAAACCTATGGTTACGTAATATCTGACAGACTT